ATTCATGAAATTGGCTCCATGTCAAAGAATAACCAAGATCAGTTACATCATAAAACAACGACTTGACTCGCGAGTCATGATATTATTGCTTCTCCCAGTTGTTACTTCATGAAGCCTGGCTGAATGTAATAGCCAACGACAGCTTAGACTTGACTCAAGAGTCAAGAAACCACTTTTTACTTCATGAAACCATCCAACGACGACTTGGACTAAGTCGTTATGGACAAGTTATGTACATAATTAAGTAGTTGTGCTTTCTTTCTTCAAAAAAAAAAAAAAATATTCTCCTTATCTTCCACAAAAGACATCCCAAGTAGACTCCCAAGTCTTCGGAGATGACAGTCCAGACAGGTATACATGGCAACAAAGTCAAGGCAATTTGAGATCAATTATGCTGACACTGGCTACCCTTTTGGCTGCCCTAAAGCTATGGTTACTATTGATGCGTAGCTAATGCGTATAAAAGTTGATATACAATTGTATTAGTATGACTATTCTAATTAATTTCTTAGCAGATGTTAAAAAAAAAGAAAAGAAAAAGAAAAGAATGTCTTAAGATCTAAAATCAAATTGAAAGAAAGAAGGAAACAATCACAAAGGAGGATGTGACCAGTGAAGAGAAAGAAAAACAAAAATAAGAAGATTCCATGTTTTTTATTTGTGTGAATAAAGAAAAAGGAAGCAAACAATAAAAACTAAAAATGAAAAGAGGATGAAGTGAAGAACGAGAGAAATTAGAAAAAGGAGACGAAGAAGATAAAAAAAGAGGAGGAACTCTATGCAAATAGCATAAAAGGAGGAATTGAACGCTGATACTCTTAACTTTTGTGATATTTCATTTTGACCCTTGGACATATTGGGCAATAAAAAATGCCCTTATGCATTTTCCAAAACTTTAATCGTAGCCTTAAATTTTACATTTCCATAAATAGTTCATGGCGGATTTAACACTAGGCTCATCAATTGCAGGGGTTTCGAATTGTAGAAAATAAAGAGCAAAAATGAAGAGACAATATTTATGATGATATTAGTAACATATCTACAGATATTATTGCATGTCAACTAAATAATTTATAATCAACAGATTTATTCCATCGGGGTTTATGGCATCCTCTGACCCCTAAACTTGGCAACCGTTAACTTTTGCAATCAAAGAAGTACTAATAGATCATAGTAATATCATGAATTTAACGATGATAGTTTATACACGGTCAATAAGATTTACTCGATAGATATTGTGAGCACAAAAATAAATTCGTAGCAGCAATTGGGTATCGTGTATAATAAACATATAAAGATTATGCATGTTTGCTTGACCTATGCTCTGGAGACTACCGTTTTCAGCTCTGCTGATAAAAACTAGTACATCTTAATTTCAACATGTTTAAGGAAATTCGCTGCTACAAAGAAACTAGAGACTAGAAACCATACCCACCTGTTAGTCCGCTTAATTTTATTTCAGCATCTTTCGTGTAATTAAAAAAAAAAAAAAAGAAAGAAAGAAAGAAAAAAGAAACCAAACCCATGTATGTAAGCCGGGGGGGTTCATATTAGCAATTATGACTTGAAAATCTTGTAGCGGATTAGGCAAGATCCAGACAGAGTTGAAAAATATTATGGGTTTCGCCAATTCTGGAAGTATTGCAAGGGGTTCAGATGGTGCCTCGAGTGGAATATTATTATTGTCTCCCCATGATTATAGCAAATGAAATTTGTTTTATGGGCAAAGGAATAAAATAAGTGGGAATTGGATGATACTCTAGTTCTTCTAGCCAAGCAATTTGTAATGGAATCTCTGTTGTCCACCACGCAAGCCCAACTCCGCCTCGGGTACAAAACCAGAAGGAAGCTGACATATCAATGCTTAAAAAACAGAACTTTGAGATCATGGATTGGTCGATGATTAGGTTGCGGTTGTTAGGTGCTGAAAGGCAATTGCCCAGATCTTTAATGCTCGAGATGCATTGTAGAAACTCTCCGGGAAAAAAAGCAAATAAAAATTGACTTGTACTAGAATGCTGCTACTATTGTATAGTTTAAAGATTTTGTGGATAATTAGTTGCATAGAGAAAAGTGTAGGAATTGAACTTGGGAAAGCGGGTAACAGCTCCTGGCCGTTTCGGGTTGCGGTGGTTACTAAACACCCTAAAAGTATTTCTAGCAATTAAAAGCATTTTTTTTTGTAAACGTATCGCAAACTCAAACTGGTCTTAACCAAGAACAATGGCCATTTTCGTCCATTTATTTTTTACCCAAACGTTTATTTAAGAGATAAATAATACACCATTTCTATACAAAAATATGTATTTCGTTGAATCAAATACACCATTTCAACATTGAGTCAACCGTTGTTTCCCCTCTCAATCTTTAGATTTATAACTTGCTTTTCAGTAAGATTTTGCCTTTAAGAAGCTTCTCACTCTTGTGCTTAACTAAAGAAAGAAATATTCTGAATGATTAATTTACTTTGTTTTGAAAGGTCTGTCTAATGGATACTTATTGAGCATTGTTAAGATGTACTTGAAGCAATAAAAAATTAGAGGAAGTGATTTTTGAAATAATTTTTGAAACAACAAAGAATTCTATATAATGAATTAATATAGTAGAAAACCTAAATTGGAAAAGAAAATAGAGAGAGAGAGAGAGAGAGATCTGCCCTAACATCAGTATACAAAATTTTTTTAAAAAAAAATCCAAACAAGCTATTCAACCCTTCCAAAAAAAAGCTCAACCACTAAAGAATTGATGGATACTTGGACAATTAACATATAAGAAATAAAAAAAAAATATTCAACCCTTCCATTGAAGGTATGATACTCTCCATTTTCGGATTTTCCAAAATTTTGTCATCTTACCAAAGTCAAAGTTATATTTGATCTCTCTTTCCAATGCTATTAATTTTGAATTTTTGAAGGCAATTTTAAAAATAAATCCACAAACATCACCGTCAAACTACTATTGTTAAAAAGTTGGAAAAAAATGAGACAAACAACTTGGGATGGAGGGAATATAATAGTTATTCCTTTTTATACTATTTGTGTTTCTCTAATTTATCTCTCAATAAGCAAACATTTTTTTCATTGAATTTTTGGCAGTGCACCGGTAATATCTATAGAAACTGAACCTAGATTACGTGTTGGTATTTATTTGCAAATTCTTTAGATATTGCAAATCCCTAGATTTTTAGATGGCGATGACATTATAGGCATTTCAATTTTACTAAATGCTAATTGTATATCTCAATATTCCATATAATCGTTATAGTTTTTGTCAAAGAGCAAGGAACCTGTGGAGTGGCATTTACAAAAACTAGTGCTGTTTCTCTTTGCATAAACATTTCTGAACAGATGATTTAATAGTACTATTATATAATATTAGTGTTTTCTTTGTGGTACTTCTCCAACTGTAATCTTCGATGTCGGTACAGATACTGTTAGCTTCAGTAGAAAAGCTGGGATGTCAAGGTTAGGGGCTGTAAGTGCAGTGTACAATTCAATATCACTGAGGCAAATTTATTTTTTTTCAGATATAATTAACAATAGTACACAATGTTAAAGATATGTATATGTTACGCCGAAAAGGCATTGATCCAGTGATTAAAATTAAGGTCCCAAGATTTAAATGTTCTAGGCTCAAATTTTTCTTTCCCCTCCTGGTTCTTAAATTCATATATATTTCCCCTCCTACAAAAAAATTTAAAAAATAAATTATAAAGAGTATCAAGGACAATAATAATGTTCAAGCAATATATGATTCCAGTTTTTAATGCACTGTAGGTCTTAAAAATTAGATTCAAATAAAAATCATTCATTCATTTGTTTTTACGTGGAAAAAGTTTGAAGATTCTTATTTTGTTTTTAAATAATATTATTGAATTTTAATTTTGGATGTCTTCATGTTTAAAATAAGTGATAAATCTAGTTACTTCATAAATTTAGGGGGCAACATAAGCGACAGAAGGAAATATAAAAAATTTCAAGTGGTGGTAATGCAAGACGAAATAAAAGTTTTAAAGTTTTTCAAGCCATCTTTAAAGACTCGTCAAAGATGAGGGGAGCAATTGCCGATCCCCAACTCAACATGGCTCCGCCCATGGCTACCATCGACAAGCTTCTTTTTCTATTTTTATTTTTTTCCTTCTTTTGGTTAAAAGAAAAGAAAAATCCATTACACACGTAACTCTCTCTGCGACCACTATAAAGCACTGCAGCGTGCAAAAGAACCTTCATCCCCAGAGCTCTGCCGGGTTTATCCATTCAGTTTTTCTTTGTTGACCTAATCTTCAATACCCATATTATACTTTAAAAGAAAAAAGCCCCAATTCCTCTGACATGCTGATGGATTTCTTACAATTTCTGCTGCTTCTTCTATCTCTAATTCCTGCAGCATATCTATGCCTGCACAAGCTTGCTATGAGAAAGAAGTCCCACAATGTAACAACCGAGTCTGGGACTCGACAGCCAATGCTTCCACCAGGCACTCTGGGTTGGCCCCTAATTGGTGAGACTTATGATTATTACTCGAAACGTCGAGAAAATCTGACATATAAGTTTTTAACAGAAAGGTGGAATAAGTATTCGGCCAGCATTTTCAGGACTTCATTGATCGGAAAGACCATGGTGATATTTTCCAAAGTTGAGGGGAACAAGTTTCTGTTCTCAAATGAGAAAAAGTTGGTCCAAGTATGGTGGCCGACTACACTGGACACAATTTTCCCCAAGACCGATAAGAAGCCTAGCGCAGAGCAATCACACACTCTACGTAATCTCCTTCGCTGGATTCTAAAGATAGATGGACTTCGAGAATATATTTCAATCATAGATGAGGTAACCAGACAGCATTTGCAAACAGACTGGAATTGCAAACAAGTGAGCGTTTGTGATGTGACAAAGAGGTACTTGTTCACCTTGTCCAGTAATATATTCTTGGGCATCAATGATCCAGGAAAAATTGAGAGATTGGCGAAAAACATGAAGGACATAGAAGAAGGTTTTTTTTCAATGCCAATAAATTTGCCAGGAACGGCTTTGAATCGAGCCATCAAAGCGGCCAAGCTTATTAGTAAAGAACTTATGGCAACAATTAGACAAAGAAGGATTGATCTTCAAGGGCATGATTTGTCTTCAAGGAAGGATTTCATGTCAACCATGCTTCTGGCAAAAGATGAAAATGGTCAGGCATTTTGTGACGAAGACGTTGCTAGCCATTTGGCTGGCTTGTTACTGGCAAGTTTCTCAACCATGCATAGCACAATTACTAGCATGATGAAGTATCTTGCAGAGCTTCCGGATGTGTACGATTCTGTCTTTAGAGGTAAGTTCGATAGTTAGTTGGGTTATTATCACTTTACCTCCTTAACGTTTGGTGTCACTGTCAATTTCCCCCTTAACGTTATCTTTTAGTCACTTTACCCCTAAAACTAACGATCAAACTTAACAGAGTTTGTTAATTAAAATGAAAAGACAAGTTTAACCCTTAAAATTATTATCATTTTATCCCCATAAACTATAGTCTCGTTATCAATTTACCCCCTAGAGTTATTTTTTAGGCAATTTATCCTACAATTAAACCAACTTAGCAAGTTAAAAAACTTTAGAAGAAAATACCCTTCTCTTTGCATAATAAAAATAATAAAAAATTTAGAGTGGCTCTTCTCTTTTTTAGTATTAAGAAAAAAAGTCAAAGTATTAATTTCTTTCTTCTTAGCAATCTTTTTAATATCAAAAAAGAATAGAAAGATGGAGAGGAGGAGAGGGAGAGAGGAAGAGAGCTCAAATCTTTTTTTAAAAATTGCAAATAAGAAAGAATTAAATACTTTTATTATTTTAAAATTATTTCAATTTTCTGTTTACAACTAAATTTCAATCATAATCCCGACAACCTTAATGTAATACAATAATGTTAGACTTTTCTTTATTTTCCTTCTTTGCAAAATCTAATTTTTTTCCTTCTTCTTTTCTATCTCTTTTTCTTTTCCTAGTATTAATAAGTGTGAAAAAAAGAAATTTGAGAAAACCCTCTTATTTTTATATTATTTATTTCTTATAGTGAAAAAAATGAAGAATAACCATTCCAATTTTTTTATTTTTAATTATATATAAAAAAGGGTAAATATATTTAAAATTTTCTGACCATACTAGCTAGATTAATGATGAAGTAAAATGCCTAGAAAATAATGTTAGGAGCTAAAATGATTGTATCACTATAATCTAAATGAATAAAGTGATAATAACAATGTAGCAATGCTATAAAATAAAAGGGTATTTTTGTCCAAAATTTCTTAACATGTGAGTTGAATTACTTATGAGGGTAAAGTAATTAAAAGATAACGTTAGGGAGGTAAACTGATAGTAGTGATATAGTTTAAGGGGGTAAAGTGATAATAACCCTAGTTAGTTATTCCAGTAATCTTGTATGCATTATTCCACGGAGCCTTGCTAATAGACTCTGTTTAGTCACATATATAATTTACACTCAATTTGCCATTTGCTCGTACACGTTAACATTTAGAACCCCTTCTATTTAGACATTTTCTTGATTTGAATTCACTTTCATACTAAATTAAAATCTGAAACCCGTCTTCATTAGAATGCCAGACTTTCATAATGAATCAACACTGAGACCTATCGGCCAGTGCTCATCGGCACATGTTACCCGAAACCATGTTTAGTTTAGGGTAAATTACGTATGCTTCCACTGAAGTTTTGCATAATGTTAGATGAACCCCCTATAGTTTAAAAACAGCAATGGTTCTATGTAAAGTGAAAAAATGGACGGAATATATAATTAGTTATAGTGATTAGACCACACACGCTCTAAAAATGTTTGTGATGAGATCCTAATATCCACTTAATCCCCTATAATTTGCATAAATATCCAATTTACCCCCTGTAATTTTTGCATTTATCCACATCATCTCCCTACGATTTTATACAAGATGGTTAAGTCGTCATTTGATTTAGAAATTAAGTAAGGGCAATTTCTAGTTTACATGAAATCATAGGGGGTGAAAACATTAGGGGGATTATGTGGCAATAAATGAAACCATAGAGGGGTTATTAGTAATTTACCCTTTATTTTATTTTAATCTCAATTTGGCATTCTTTGCTTAGCAGGATGGCTGTATATACTTAAAAGATGACGAAATACAAAATTATAGAAGTCGAATGAAGGTCATCAAACTAGACCTGACCAGCCAAGACCCCCCATTTTATGCTGGGAAATTCATAAAATTCTGGCCATCCTGCAAAATAGTTTTAAGCTACAGAAGGAAAGGATATGGCAACATGAATATGTAGTAAAGTTATTGAACCCGCAACTGATGCTCTTTATTGATATGCCTATGTAACTTTTGGTTATTCGTGAGGACTTATTCAGCATAAGCATTGTAAAATCGTATTTTGTTTTGCTAAGCATTAACGTATCAAACATTATAGCAATAAATAAAGTAGATGAGCAGGAGTAATATACAAGACAAGACATTTCGGATTTTGAATATGGTTGATAAGCATGTTGGATAGTTTCCTGCTTGATAATTTCTTGTTTCATGTCAAACAAACATGTTTGATAATTTCATATACTCAAATAATTAACCCAAACTTCTTTTGTTTTATTAAATTTACTTATTTAGTGTAGAGTAGTTGTTTGACAGTGAACCAGAGGGAGTCTTGATTGTGTAAAGGCAACTCAATATTAGAAGCAGATGTGTTTTTTTCTTTATTTGATTGGTAACAATATCTTCTTCCACATATATTTATATGTGTCACATATCCTTCCTCTATGCTTGGTACCTTCAGAACAAAATGAAATTTTAGATGTAAAGCCAAAAGGAGACCACCTTACTTGGGAGGATATACAGAAGATGAAGTACTCTTGGAGTGTTGCTAGTGAAGTCTTGAGGATATCGACACCAGGGTTTGGAGGGTTTAGAGAGGCTATCACTGATTTCACCTATGAAGGGTTCACAGTACCAAAAGGCTCCAAGGTAAACTCGATTAATTATACCTCTCGGAGTTTGTTCCACATTCGGATCTATGTAGCATAAATTTTGATTACTACACTTTACTTCAACAGATTTTCTGGACTTTTGATGCCACACACAAGAATCCAAAATACTTTCCTGATCCTGAAAAGTTTGAGCCATCAAGGTTTCAAGGAAACGGTCCAGCTCCTTATGCATTTGTGCCATTCGGGGGAGGACCACGCATGTGTCCTGGAAATGAGTATGCTCGGGTGGTGATACTTGTTTTCATGCACAATGTGGTGACAAAGTTTAGATGGGAGAAACTGATTCCGGGCGAGAATATGATATATTATCCTGCTCCAAGGCCAGCGCGAGGGCTTCCAGTCACTCTACATCCTAACAAGCCTTGAATTCTCCTATTCATTTTTGGTTCTTTGTCAATACTTAATGGAGCTACACTGCAATCTTCCTGTCCTGTAAGTCCAATAATGCAGGAAGTGCTTGGTTTATATTCCGAAATCAAAATCTGAATCATATACAAATCATCACTATATAAAAAGTATCATGAGTTTTGGTACTTTGGGAGTGTAAGTATAAGTATCATTGTGATCTTAATTTTTGTTATTTCAATTATGCCCTTATTAATTAATGACTGAAGTTTCATATTATGCTCTTTTTAATTTATTATGATGATTAAAATTCATTATATCATATCTGTTGATTTAGAAGAAAATAATGGTTCAGCATTATTATTACTACATAACAAGTACCGGGAATAGGCTTCTTCAAACCATGGTCCAACCCCATTGGTTAGCAAATAGTTAATTTTTGCTAACAGTGCAAATTTAGGTTATCCAACTCGAGAAGAAAAATAAAAAATTGTTCACATATCTAATTAAAAATCAAACATTTTCAGTGGCATTATCCTAATTTATTTGTCATAAAAAAATGAAAAAAACAAAAGAAGTAACTAGAAATATTGATATATATATATATATATATATATTTATATAGTATGACAAGGTTGTGTTCGGTTGGTGCAACGTTTATCTTTACTGGTCTGGGTATGATGCGGTTCAAAGTCGAGTTAAATATGAATTATTGTTTGTGGCCCGTGGCACGTGACTATTTGTTGTTTAGCCTTGTTGCTTTCATTGTCCTAGATTCCTGGTCTCATGTTTTAAGACAAAGTGGTCCTGGATTGTACACGTCGTTGAAGTTAAATATGAATTATTATTATTTGGGGTCCACGGCGTGTGACTACTGACTATTTGTTTAATTGCTTAGCCTGTCACTTTCATGCTCCTACTTTTTAAAGCAAAGTGGTCCTACATTATATATCTCACGTGTTTGCAACACGTAGAATTAGCTTAAAAAAAGCGTTAATTATTATTAATCCCCTTAAAGTATACCTTATTTTCACTTTACCCCCCAACTTTTAATTTTACCCACTTAACTCCTTATAGGATAAAATTACCCTTCCATTATTTTGACTTTTCATTTATCTTTGTCATCCCTTTTGTTTCTTTTTCTTTTTCTTTTTCTTCTCTCTTTCATCATTCCCAATAGAAAACTCCATCGAAAATTTTTATTTTGAGTTTTTAATTACATTTTATTTTGAATTTGTAATTGTGAAGGTTTAAAAGGTATCAAAAACTAATTTTGATTTTTTGTATGATGTCACGTGTCACACATTTCAATTGATGATTATTAATTAGGTCACAATTTCATCTTATGATATTTTCTTGAGAATAAAATGAAAAACTAGAAAGGAAAGAGGAAAAATCAAAATTAAAAGAATTGAAAGGCTAAAAAAATTGTATTTTAGGAAAGTGATTTGAATATTTTTTTAATCATTTAAGAAGAAGATAGATTTCTGCAATTCCTCTTTTTTAATTTCAATCATTAAGATGAAGAGTTTTGTGGGAAAGAGGAAGAATTAAAGAAAGAAGAAAGAAGCAAAGAAAATAAAATAGCACAAAAGGGGAAAGGAAAAAAGAAAAACGAAAAATAAGAGTTTAGAATAATAGAGGGATAATTTTGTCCAATGGGGGATAAAGTGAGACAAAAAAATGGTTAGGAGATAAAATGAAAATTGAGATATTCTTTAAAGGGATTAATTGTGATTAAGCCTAAAAAAAAGCCCATCATGGTGGGTTAGTTGTAGGGGAAAATATCAATAAATAAGTCAGTGAATTTGTTGAGAGTTTAGGTGCATGTAATGCTGAAATAATATGTGTTTAATGTTAAAAAAAAAAACATGTTACTTCATTTCTTATTTACAGGGGCTCAATTACATTACATGCATCCTTTGCAAGCTCATGAGCTGTAAAATGCCACCGGGGAGTGATTGCAAGGACTCTAATGCAGCTTCTATAGATGTTGCTGCAGAAGTTGAAGTCTAAAGGAAATTTAGTTTTGGCTAGAAGCTTCTATTGTCATTATAAATCTTTGACATGTGTTTGTGACCTTGTATAACGTATATTTTTGGTGGCTTTTAACTGAAATTGAATATAGACTTTATTTTGGTGGCATATAGATTTATATTCTGATGACCAGAATTATATGCATTGCTAAATTATATACTACTTTAGTGATGCATAAATTATATACTAAATTTGATGGCCGATGAAATTATTCTTTATTATTGTTGTTGAATATTTTAATTTAGGGATATTGTGCGTTTGGGAATGCTTGTGTTACAGGGCAAACATTGCCAAATTTCTTAAAAAATGTTGTCCCATTAAAACTTTTTTTTAATGATTTTAATGACGGCTGGAATGTAGGCTTTGTATTTTGCCCCTCTGTCCACGAAAGAATTTTGTGTCATTGGTGGCTCAAGCTAAAAAGGACTACATTGGCTAGACATATACAGTCAAGGGACTAAATTAGCCCCAGTTAAAGTTTAGGGACTATTTGCAGCTTTTGATAAATAGTTTAGAGGCAATTTTGGCCTTTGCTCAATTTTATTGTTGAAGAAGACATCTTCAGTAAGTGTTATTGGAGTGCATTTGAATTCAATAATTCTGAACTCATGTCCATATGTTTTGCCTAAATCTACAACCGGATGACGACCCAAGTGCCCAAGCGAAAAGGCAATTAGACCACCCATTAATTCAGCAATATTTCTTGACCGAAGACTCCTATAGAAATAAGACACAAAATAATTCAAAGAGTTCAACTTAAAAAAAATATATACATCTCTTCGTACTATATATACTATATAAAAGGAACCATGAGTTTGGAGTGTAAGTGAAGTGATACTAGATTTTGTTATTCCAATTGTACCCTTATTAATTGATGATTGAAGTTTCATATTATGCTCTCTTTAATTTTTTATGATGATTGTTGTGATTTTAGTTTTTATTAATCTAATTATGCCCTTATTAATTGATGATTGATGTTTCATATTATACTCTTCTTAGTTTTTAATTTATTATGATGATTAAAATTCATTACGTCATGGCTATTGATTTAAAGGAAAATAATAGTTGATGACAAGACAAAATGTTAAGAAAGACTAAGCAAGATTTGGTCTTTATTTTCTATTCGTCCAAAATACCATTCTTCCTAATAATTAGATTTATTGCATTTCAATAATAGCAATAACCACAGCAATTATGAAAAAACTATAACCTTAATTAAATTTGAATTATGAAGATAATAAACAAAATATAATACTCCAAATCAATGTGTCTTTTTGCATTCTATTTTCAATTTTTTATTTCCATTAAAAATTCTTGATTAGTCACGGCCTAATTAAATTTTTAAATCTTCAAAAATATTTGTATTTGTATCAAAACAAGGTGCTCTTAGGATAACAGAATCTTTGTCATTTATGGTTTATGTCAGATTTTGTCCAAAAAATTAAAAAATTAAAAAGCAAAAGAAAAAAAAAAGAAAAACTTAACTATCCCTACCAATAAAATTTCAGTTCTCAAAAATGAACAATTAGACAAAAAAATTTATATGTGGTAGTTGATTTATACTCCATTGTTAATAGAAATAGCACACAAAATAATTCAAAGAGTTCAACTTCAAAAGATATATATACATATATCTTTATTTTTTCAAAAAATAGTTCATATAACTTCATATTGAGGAAGCATGACTATATAAAAAGTGTAAATGTAAGCATTATTGTGATATTAGTTTTGGTTATTTCAATTATGCCCTTATTAATTGTTGATTGAAGTTTCATATTATTCTCTTTTTAATTTATTATTATGATAAAAGTTCATTATATAATATCGATCTATTGATTTAGGAGAAAATAATGGTTCATTATTATTATTATTATTATTATTATTATTATTATTATTATTATTATTATTATTATTATTATTACTACTACTACTACTACTACTACTACTACTATATAAAAAGTACCATGAATTTTGGTACTTTGGAGTGTAAGTGTAAGCATTATTGTGATCTTAGTTTTTATTAATCCAATTATGCCCTTATTAATTGATGATTGAAGTTTTATATTATGAACTTTTTAGTTTTTAATTTATTATGATGGTTAAAATTCATTACGTCATAGCTAATGATTTAAGGGAAAATAATGGTTGATGACAAGACAAAATGATAAGCATTAGAGACCAAATAGGATTAGAGACCAAATAGGATCCCGTCTTTATTTTCTATTTTTCAAAATACCCTACTTCCTCATTATTAAATTTATTGCATTTCAATAATAGCAATAACTATAGGTCTATAGCAGTTATGAAAAAAATTATAACCTTAATTAAATTTGAACTATGAAGACAATAAAGAAAATGTAAACACTCCAAACTAATGTGTCTCTTTGCGTTCTATTTTTAGTTTTTCATTTCCATTAAAAATTCTTGATTAGTCATGGCCTAATACAAAGAATATATGACTTCAATTTTTCAAAAAATAGTGCATATGACTTCATATTGAGGAATTTCATCAGGCAATTGACAAATTCAACTTATGTAACATGATAAATAATAATCATAGTGCATTCAACCAATATTTTTGAAAAAAATTATTTTTTATTTTATTTTACTTTATTTTATTTTTATCCTCCCATCCTTCCCTACACTCTTTTCATCACTAATTGTTAGGCATGAGATTCAAATCCTAAATCTGACATCAGAGAGAACTATAAGCACTCTTTTGTGATCATTGGGTCAACCCCAATGGTTGGTAAACAATTAATATTTGATTAGCGTGCAAATTCAGGTCATCCTAGCTCCAAAACAAAAAATAAAAAATTGTTCGTATATCTAATTAAAAATAAAAAATAGTTGTATTATCATAATTTATTTGTCTTGGAAAAAAGAAAAAACAAAAGAAATAATTATTATTATCAATATTGTACATACCATTCAAAATATTGATACTGTTGTCAAATTATTTCATATTTGGTCAAATCATTATTTTCTCAAGTGTTAATTTTTCGTCTTCTTTAATTAATTGTACTTAAAATTGTTATTATAAATTGAAAGAGACCGAATGTATTCTCATTTGTTAAAAATTCT